CTGCTGCTGCTGCTGCTCAGCCTCGGGCTGCTCCACGCAGGTACGAGGCGCGCGCGCGGGGGAGCCAGCCCCGGGGCCCCGTGCTTTGTTCCCAAACACCCCGGTTCCCCAGGGCGCTCGCCGGGGCTGAAGGGCGGCCGGCGCGGCGGGAAGGGCCTCCCGAGCGCCTGACACGCACCTTCGTCGTGCGCGCGGCGCGGCGGCAGGAACACACCCGCCGACGGTGCGGCGCGCCCAGGGCGCAGAGGAGAGGCCTTCCCGCCCCGCCCGGGGCTCGGAGCGTTGATAAATCTCCCCTCCCACGACCGCTTATCAAAGATTTCGCGGGCGGGGTCTGCGCGCCCGAGACCAGTGTTCCGGATGCTTTATTGCTTTCTGCATTGGTGTTTACTGCAAGTCAGGCCGGGATCAGGTTTCCGCCGCCGCCGCCGCCGCCTCCTCGGAGGGCAGACAAGGAGCCTTGTGCTCCTTCTCTGGAGTTGGGGGTGGCGGCGAGGCGAAGAAATCGCACCAGATGGAAAGATTTTCGCCAGAGTTTGAAAACCTGGGGGTTAATCTCGAAGTCACTTAAACTTCTTTAAGCAGGAATTTCTTTCTTGTTTGCGAAAGCTGCTTTTGATTCAGCTTTCAACCTCTTTGGAAAATCTCGTGCTTTGTGGCTAGCCGCGTGTTTTCGCGTTCCAGGAGGGGTTGACAGATCTCGTGCTGCTTTCTGGAGGTCGGCGCTTCCGCTATGAAAGCAGCAGTGAGGAAACTATGCTTAGGGAAGTAAGCCTGCAGATGAACCTTCTAGCATATGACACTTATTTTTCTTTTTAAAATCGTGTCATTAACACACTTATTGTGTCAGTTGTATCTCAATAAAGCTGGGGGAAAAAATCTAGGACGCTGTTTACAAATAAGTGCCACTTTAGGAGTTTGTCTAGACAAAGAATTTTTTTAATGCCAAGTTGGAAGATAAATTATCTTTTAGTTTGAGAACCACTAGCGCACTAAGAAGTTTTCCTTCGAGATCCTTCTGTCCTGTGTTTGTGTGACAACAGTCACAACGCACGCTCTGATCTGGAGAATCGTGAACTTTAATGCCACCCAACTGTGCAGAGTAATTTTTATATATTTATTAAGTCATACCAGCCAGACTAAGAATCCGGGAGGTCTTTTAAGTAATGGAAAAAAAATGTGGCATTTGAGGAGACGACTTAATTTACTTTGCGTAACTTTGCATTGTGTTGTAACAGCTGCATTTTAACACTGTCACTTGGGGGAGACAGACTGAAGTGTAATAGCAAGTTTTACAGTGATTAAGGCTTTAAATTGGTGACTTTAGAACCTTAGAAAATAATGTCAATCTGCTTACAGTTACAGGGAAATTTTTTCATGATGTGTCAAAAGATGTATTCAACAGTGTTTTGTGTGAAAAATGTGTGTCGATAATGTCAAAGTGTAGGTTTCTTAAAAGGGAAATTGAATTACTGGGCAGGACTGCGTGCCTCTTGACTGCTTGGGTATTGTTCCCCTTCGTTGCTATAGGGTCCTATGACAGCATTGGAATGTGGTCCTTGGAGATTTCTTTGCTGGCCCATGAAAAGACCTAACAAGTTGGCTTAAAGATTTAGGAAACTAAGATGCCTTAGTTCAAGAACTTGAAACGTGAAACTCCTCCCAGTATCTTAATGTGCCCTCACTAAAGTCACCATTAGATTCTACCCAGAGTCGCTGTGGTGAGTGATCTCAGGCAGTGGTGAGTGTCCATGTAGACATCTTGTTGAAGTGGAGCAATTCATCTGGTTCTGGAAAAGCGAGCTCCTTTCGAGAGGTTGCTTTGGAGAGTAGTGCTATTGAAATGCAGGGGTGGTTTCTCCTCAGAGCAGGGAGCCTAGCCCCGTGTTCTTTGCAGATGGCCTGCCATATGTTTTATGCCTGGATCCATACAGTTTGCCTCAGCACCCCATCTGGCTCTGCATTTCACTTAATTCAGCTTCAGCGTATCCCGTTTCTTTCATTATAAACTGGTGATTGTGCTGCAAATTCACACGTGCAGTCCTGGCGTTGAGGAAACTGTCTTGAATGGTGAGGTCTTTATGTTTGAATCATGAAGGAAAGCTCTAGACCCACAAATCCTTTAACACTTTCATTAACTGGAATGGAAATGTTATCACACAGTTTATAGCTGATCTGACTCAAAAAATAGATCTGTAACTGCAGATTTTGAATTCTGCCTTTGGGAAGTGAAGACTACTTTTATTCACTTTTTTTTTTTTTTCCCCTTTAAGCAAACCTCTGCAATTCCTGAATGGAGATCCAATATGGGAGTTACTTGCTTACTCATACATTTCATGGCCTTCTTGGCTACATCTTCGGGATTGTTTCTGCTCTGCATTGTCTTGGCATTTTGACAGGAGGCTTACTTTACCACCTTAACAGGCAAAGTGTGCATTGTCATTATAAATTCATGAAGCCTGGATATTTCTGGGTGTATGTTGCATATTAGTCATTATACAGGAGCCTGCGATGGGGCTGAAACTGCGGATCCCAATGCACTTTCTCTCTAGTTAGCCCTCCTCCTCCCATCATCTCTATTCGGAAATGCTGTTAGAAACCTCATCCCAAACAAAAGAACTGAGGAGTTCTGTTTTCTGTGAGATTTCTCAAAGGACTCAGCACCTACCTGCTATGAAAAAGGGAGGGCGGCAGTGGGGGAAGGAATGAAAACGGAGCTGGGAATCTCTCTAAATTCTGTTTCTCTTGCCTTCTGAATTCTGCATTTCCATGCTGTTCTTACATTTGATATTTTATGACTATTTGAAATAATTATAAGTAAAGATACGCTCGGACAGATTTTATAGACCATAAAAAGAACAAATAGGCAGTGCAAGTTTAGTGGAAGGTTCTTGTGCTGTCATTTATTTGTAGTCTAAGAGCTGTTCATTACTGAGTGATCTTGGCTGTTGTTATTTCCTTGCTTTCTCCTTGCTGTGAATCTGATTTAAAAAGAAAAAAAAAGTCTTTTTTTAAGCTATCAAGTCCTGTTGTCAGAGTAAGGAATATGAGGGAGATGTGACATGTGGTGGAAGGAAAATGGGATTTGAGGAAAACCACCACGTCTGGGCTTCACATTAGCTATTTATGATGCAACCAGGACAAGGCCTTTGTATCCCTTGGTCTTGATTTTTCCATCTGTAAAATGGCTTTAATGCCTTTGGGAGTTCTTGGTTAGTTTTTTTGGTTTGTTTTGATTTTTGGTTTCTTGAGTAAAAATAGTTGAAAATGACTTGATCTACTTTGGAGAAGGGAATTCTATAACTGTCGAGCTGCTTTTGTCAACTTTGGAATGAGCAAGCCTAAAATAGACCTAATACATGGAGATATTTGATTTTTTTGTGTGTGTGATTTAGCGATAGCTATAAATCCATAGCTCCAAAATATTAAAATATTTTAATCTTCTGTTTTACTCCAGTTAAAGTGAATAGACTACATTTTTCCCTTTTTAGTCTTTGAAATTTAAAAATGGTGGGGGAGGTATCTTGAGAGGTTGTCATTCATCTCCTATCCTTTTCTCCCCAGCTGAAGCCAAAACAGAGATTACACACCATTTAATTCAGATTTAAAAGCAGTTTACTACTGAAAAGATTGCAATATCTTTCTAAGATGATATTAGGGTTAGTTTTAAGTTTTTATAAGGTGAAGTCCTAAATCTTGATATTATCCTGAAGTTTGTTATGCCCACATCTTGAAATAAGATATTTCATATTTGTGTATTTAATACATATGTGTATTTAATAGTACTCTACCAACTCTGATTCCCCCCCACCCCCCCAAAGAGAAACTGTATATTTTATGCCTGGAAAAGATCACAAAGTTCATTTTAGAACAAGCTCCTCATTTCTCAGATGAGGAACTGAAAACTTGAAGAGATGGAGACTTCCTCCCTAGTTTAGAGACCTATAAAGAATGTTTAAGTAACACAAATATGTGTTAACAGTTCATTTCTATGAAATTTGAGGTGAATGATAAAAGTATTTTTCTTCTCAATAATTCTAGTGTTCCTACTTTATGAAACAGAATATTAAACTGATTGACACACACGACTGACCTAGTATTGGCACTTCTTGTGTTTTTTGTGCTTTGAGAGGTTTTATAAATTTTTATATGAAAAGCTAATGGCAAAACATCATTTGAAAATTGACTTTTTAAATAGTAGGGTAGTAATACTTGGTTTTTCATTACTTCGTTTTAGCTTTGTTTAAATCATTAAGTTTATATGACTTGATGATTTAAGGGAAAAGGTTTATATATACTCTAAGAAATCTGTGTCCTATATGACTTGATGATTTAAGGGAATAGGTTTATATATACTGTAAGAAATCTGTGTCCTATAGTTCTCTGGTTCTGTTTGTGAAAACATAGTTGGTGGACTCATCTGTCTCTGCAGTGTGATTTCAGTGCTGTGTACTTTTTAATTTAGTGTACTTTTTACTGGGGAACTGCTTGGGAGCTGGGATCCTGGGGGGATGGGTGTTTAAGGGAGAAGTGAATACATAGCTTGGTCACATGAATCACGTTATTTTATTTTTTTCCTGAGGAAGATTGGCCCTGAACTAACATCTGTCGCCAATCTTCCTCTTTTTGCTTGTGGAAGATTCACCCTGAGCTAACATCCATGGCCAGTCTTCCTCTATTTTGTATGTGGGATGCCTCCACAGTGTGGCTTGATGAGTGGTGTATGTCCAGGCCTGGGATCCGAACCCGCGAACCTGGGCTGCCGAAGCAGAGCGTGCTGAACTTAACTGCTACACCTCCAGGCTGGCCCCAAATCACTTTATTTTTTAAGAGAACATTTACAGTCTGTAGAAACCAGGAGATGAAGTATCAGTTTATATACAATTTGTTGATAACATCCCTTAGGAAATGCAGAAGAACTTAGTAGCTGCCTTTTTTCCTGATATTCTTACCTTGTGGCCATACTAGAATCAGGTAAAGGTGTTTTAACTAATCGTGCTCTAATTTAGGGGTTTCCCCCAACCAGAGGCGTGGAGGCTTTAATCCTGGTTTTGTGCACAGACATTGTCTCCCAAAGCAAATGACTTATGCAGTTTTCAAAATCAAAACAAAATTCACATATTTGGCGTGGCCTTAGAGCAAAGGAATCTTTCTCAAAATCTATAAACAATAGCAAAGTTGATAAAATATTTCATTTACCATTCCCTTGTAATTTTAACCTAAGAACGCTAGACTAGACTCATGTTCACTCACAATGACCCATGTCTTAAAGTTTTAAGTTAACTGGCTGCATGCAGTTTTTCTCCCAGTGGCTTAATTTGTTGAGCGACACAGGAGCACAAGACAACCAGATTTCCAAAGGCCTTCTTAAAATAGGTGTATATGAAATAGAACACAGTTCCCAGAGGAGAATGTCATTTTCTCACGTAGCTCAGGAAGTTGTGAAGTGTGTAAAAAATGTCTGGTCTTATCTCCTTTCCCATAGGTGACTGCCAACAGCCAGCCCAGTGTCGAATCCAGAAATGTACCACGGACTTTGTGTCCCTGACTTCACACCTGAACTCTGCCGTTGACGGCTTTGACTCTGAGTTTTGCAAGGCCCTGCGTGCCTATGCTGGCTGCACCCAGCGGACTTCAAAAGCCTGCCGTGGCAACCTGGTATACCATTCTGCTGTGCTGGGTATCAGCGACCTCATGAGCCAGAGGAACTGTTCCAAGGACGGACCTACATCCTCTACCAACCCTGAAGTGACCCATGATCCTTGTAACTATCACAGCCACGCAGGAGCCAGAGAACACAGGGGAGGGGACCAGAACTCTCCCAATTACCTTTTTTGTGGCTTGTTCGGAGATCCTCACCTTAGAACTTTCAAGGATCACTTCCAGACGTGCAAAGTAGAAGGGGCCTGGCCACTCATAGATAATAATCATCTTTCAGTTCAAGTGACGAATGTGCCCGTGGTCCCTGGATCCAGTGCTACTGCTACAAATAAGGCAAGTATGCTTTTTTTCTTCTTCTTTCTTATAACTTTCAGGTGTTTGATTCTTCAGACAACTTTTGAAATGTGATACGAAAGACCTAGTTTAAAAGGTACTTTTTTTTTTGGTCTTCTTGGCAAGCAGTTAACAGGGTTGATGAAGGATTAAATGAAAATTATTTAGTAAGGAATTTCTTTCTGGAATTCTAGAGCTTATATAAAATGGGGGTCTAAATTTAAATAGAAAATGATATGAAAAATAAAAAGTAAATACTGAAATTGTGTTCTCTAGGGAAAAGGCAGGCTTTGTTTAATGGAAAAATGTATGCTTTTTTTCAGTGATGTATTTTTTGGGTGCATATGTATGTGACTCTTCTCGAAGAAAGCCACATTCAGATTTATCAGATGACTGAAGTGGGTGTTCTGAATAAAGCTGTGACGCCCGAGGCAATAACCCATCAGGAAGCATATTTTATTGGAAATTTGGAAGCTATAGTAAAATGTAATGGCTATAAGCCAGCTTCCCAATGGCAAACCCACAATGGTGTTTTAGTTACTAACCAGGGTGACCAAGGAAGTTAGGAATTGGATATTGCAGAGCGGTGAGGTATAACTCACATGTGATCTGAAGATAACAGTTTAAGTCAGAAGCTGAGGGAAAAGCTGACATAATTAAGTTAAGCTTACCCTACCTAGCTGCCAGTGTCTGTGGTTCTTGTTTGTTTGGGTTGGTTTTGAAGAAACTAATACTGAATGGAGATCCTCTAAGCCAACTGTAAGGCACCCATGTCTTAGTGCAAGTAGGTGGAAAGGAGCTATGAAGTGGGTTTCCAGTTGCCAGTCAGCGCAAATTCAGGCATTAGTAAGTAAAAGGTCAAAAAGGGTTTTCCACGAAAATAGTGTCCCAAACGACAAAATCACGCATACAGGTGATCTCATCTTGCTTAATTTCCTTTGTTTATTTTATCTGTTCATAAACTGGTTTAGACTAAAATATAATTGACACGGATCAAGCTTTTGTAATATTTATGACTGTTCTTTTGATTGCAGGACACCCTCCTTTGCCTCCAAACATGTGTGGCACATTTTTTAAGTGAATTTAAATTATTTTACTTGGCATTTTGTGGAGGGAATTTTACAGGACCTCCGGAGATATCTGGAGACACCCAAGGGTGTCACAAATCTAAGATTAGAAGTCCTTGCTGTGAACAAAGAAGACTATTACATTGGTCCAGACATCTTAGGGGAACTCAAAAATGTTTACACTTCAGCTCTCTATGAAAGCCCCAGCTTGCCTTTCCAAATCCTACATCTCAAACTTTTCTTCCTCTGGTTTTTATAAGTATGCAAATAATTTTTCCTGTCTGTATATTAAAATATGTATTTGCTGTGAGTTATGATATAGAGTTATACAATTAGGAAGTTATAAGACAAACTATGGCCCAAAATCCATCATTGCTGCAGAGTCATAGGGCATAAAACCTGGGGATAGCCTGTGGGAAAACATAACACTAAAAATTCAAGAAGGCAGTTCCATAGGGAATGGAGAAAATCATCATCGATTATGCAGATAATTGAGGGCTTGGAAGAGTGGCCTACAGATAATACTGTTGAGATGAAGTGCTGTGTACACGGGAAAATACTGGTTCTTTTCACAAGCCCAAAGTTCTGTTTTTCATGCCTTCCATCCAATCACATGTCACTTCTGTTTGTTATTCAACCTTTCAAAATTCTATCCTTTTTACTGCTGATGGTGAAAATATTTGGGGATAACCAGTTACCTTATGAGTATTAATATATAAATGGAACAGTTGACACTGAAGTACTTTAGGTCGTTCCATTTCAATTGTGGTTTAATCTATCGTAGTTTTTAGCAAATAAATAAATAAAAAGAACAACTTTTTCTCCCTCAATTTGGTAAGGATCAAAGGTTTTACCCATTTCACAAAGGAGGCGGGGAAAGTTGTCCTCTGACATAAATTCAAGCCGACGATGAGAATGCTTGGTCTTTAATTGCACTATTGGAAAGTATTTCCCCACATCTGGTGACCATGTTGTTCAGCAACAAATTACTCTCTGGCTTCCCAACTTCTAGTAGCTGTTTTTTTCCTTCTTTTTGCAACTCTCTCCAAAGCCCCCAGAAACATCTGGAAGGTTACTTTTGAGGCCCTGAATCAATGCTGATATGACCTGTGCTGGTGACACCAAGCAAAGGCCTAACCTTGTGCAGTGCAGTTTCCTTCTACCCAGGGCCAAAATAAAACCTTTAAAAAACTCTAATCAGTGAAAAAATGATGGTAATAAAAATAAAAACAATGTGAGGCACAAAGTACATATGAAATAAGTTCCAAAAAAGATCTGATTTATTTTTCTTGATGTCTGCTGCAAAACTTTAAAAAAAAAAAAAAAAATCTTTTAGAGTTTTTGTGTGAGAGTCTTGGCTTTACTGAGACCTTTATACAGACATAGACCAGCTATTGGACAACTCTGCACTATCCATTGCAGATACTGTATCATCCTTGTGGTCAAGCATTTTTAATGACCCACGTGCTCAGTGTCACTAGATTTAAAGACTGACCAATGATACGGTAGAGGCTGGCCAGCTGTGATACCGAAATTGTATTCAAGCATCCATTCCTATCTCTGCCTTCAGCACTGAACTAAAGCCCTGGACCTGGGGGTTTTGCTCAGTGAGGTCTCGAAGACAACTCCTCAGTCCTGAGTGCCTGGCTTCTTGATCAAGCCATCTTCCTGAGCTCTACCTGCCCCTAAGTACCAGCCTTTCCCTCGTCACAAAAAGACAAAGCTTGGGAAAAAATTCTGAACAACAGAATGAAAGAACATGAAGGCATCTGTGCTCAAGGGGCCATTTGTTAGCTGAGCCTTTTCCATTTTCCACACAGCCAGCTGTGAGTTTAGGGCACCTAGGCCTGCAGTGCTCAGTGATGTGCCTTCATCCCCCTTGTCTGCTTCCTCTCCCCCTGGGAGGCGCAGGCTGGTTTTCCAGTTGGTCATGGTGTGCGCAGGATTGCTTTCTCAGGGCTGCTGGGTTTCTGTTATGCCCTCTGCCAGCCTGTTAGGCTCCCGCTCTCCGGAGGAGTCTATGCAGTTGGCTACCTTGCCAGGTAGGTGTGTTCCTTAAGAGGAGGCCAGGGCTGGTTTTTCATCTCTCCATCCTGGGAGCTGCAGCGGTTCTGGCATACCTGCAACCTCACTGAGATCGCATCAGCTCTGGGCCATCTTCCCCACCTTTGGCTGTGAGAGGCAGCTTCGGGCCTGCAGGCAGTGGGCAAGAGAGATGAGAGGGACAGGCTTAGAACTGGCAGAGTTGGCTACCCGGGGAAGAAGAGCAGTTTTGTTTGGGGAGGAGGAGGTAGCCCCACACTGTTCGGGCTCCAGAGAGCACATGTCAGTACCTCTCCTGGGCCTCACACAGATAAATAAACCAGGTCATCTGTGGGAATGCTCGACTTCTGTACCTTCTCTTGCACATTCTCTTTGCCAGCCCCTCGTCTCAGCTCCTGTTTACTTCATTCTGTGTATCCATGCATCTCTGGTTAAGCGGACTCAATAAGGGTTTGTATATGCTGTAATTACAGCAGGTGATTTTGGAATATATTATTTTATGAAAGGATTCTGCACATTACAAATGTATTCCTGGTAGCATATATTAAAATCGCCAGTCTCTCAAGTGCATTTTAAAAGATTCCATTTCCAGAAAATTTCAGGAATATATTTATTGCACGTAAACAGTAGCAGTATTTTTTAATTATTTTTTACAAGTAATTTGGATATCTTTGCTTTATTTTTCCTTTTGTTTTAATGTAATCTTGTCCTTTCCCATCACTCGAGCTTTCTTACCCTCTCCTTCAACCTCAGTAAAACAAAATTGGAGGGAGGAGGGGAGACGGGATGACAGCAAGTCCTTTTATAGATCTTCTGCTTCAGATGGCTCCATGCTTCATCCTTGAGTGAGAGAAGGCGGTTTAGCTTACGTTTGCTTTTGGGAAAGAGGGGTGTTCTTTGTGCTTGACAAGCCAGATGGCTGTTGGCCAGGTGAGTGGGCATTCTGAGGTGCCTCGGATGTTCTTGCTGCTGCCATGGGCCACCAGCACCCGGTAACCCCATGGGCAGTAGCGCTCAGCACCTGTCCAAAGCATGAAGAGGCCCTGTCCATCAGGTATCTATATATTTTTAACAGTCCATAATTATCCTAATTCTCATACTCTAGCTACTTTCTGGGAAATTCCTGAAAACGTCTACTGGTTGAAGTAACTAGAGATGTAGAAAGACTTAGTTCATTCGGTTGGTTCTTGCTTACTGTCTTCCTCAAACTCTATCACCCAGGGTTTTCCCTCCTGATAAAACACTATTCTCTGTAGGCTCCTAGGGCATGCGTTGGGTCCTCTTCCTTTCTGATGCCACTTAGCGTGCAACTGTTATTCCACAGCAGCATGTGGGCATGTAAACCAGTGTTCTGGATCATTCTCTGGTTACAAAATAAGAGCCAGGCGTGCCTGCACTGCAAAGGCTTTCAGCTGCCATTTTAAGCGTATCTCTGGATCAAGGTTTGGAAATCTGTCCTCTCTTGACCCTAGGCCTAGTGCATTTGTTTTGTAGCCAAGTTTTTGTAACCCATTATGTTTTTAGTGTCTTTACAAAGAAATGGGAGCTATGCAATGGTGATCATTTTTATTTTTATGGACTAAGGAAGAAGCTCATCGTCCCATCAGGATTGGGTTTTGAATATATGGACGCTGTTCGTGCATGCAGTGTTGTTATAGAAGGTACACACAGCATTTTCTTTGAGAATATAGACTTTTTCCTTCCAGAGATTCTTGCAAGATTATAACTAATCCTTAAAATCTGAAATTGCTCTTTATTTTGTTATGATTATCTGTTTTGCAGATAATTCTTGCCATCTCTTTAAGAGTCGCTCGTTGTAATGGTCCTCCTTGTTTTGCAAAAATGCTAAAAAGTTATAAGACCGGTTGAGGCATATTGGGGAACAGATAG